TAGTTGTCCAGACCGCTCCTTTTATCCCCACACTCAGGTTTGTGTATCTGTCCATAAATCAACCCATTACCACCGCCCACCCTCATGGTTCGACGTTTACAGTTGTAAATTTCAGCTCTTGTGGTTGACATTTAACTCATAATCCTTCGAAAATTGCTCTTGCATTACCCCTCTCCCTCCTAACAGTAGATAGCTCCTGTTTCGGATACTTCACCATGGCCGCTGACTATACCAGCCCAACGGCTGAAGTTGAATTTTTCAGAACTTCTCTGTGAAGGTCATTTTGTCGAATATTCCTTTTCACTAATCCTGATTAAATGAATTCACCAATTCCGTAAAATTTAGTGTCAGTTACAGGTGGCGAGCTATAGGGGAAAAAACGCAAAGATTCAACCAGTCCAAATCACTTTCGGTCCGTTTGTTGTGAATCGAACAGTTTAGTTCTCGAGGTGCAATTTGGAGCTTGTGGAAATAAAATAGAACGTTCAAAATAAAGGACGGCTACCTGAATCAGTAACAGTTTATCCGAAATTGCTTAACCGCACTCGTCGGGACAGTGGAGTCCACCTCAGCAAAACCTCAGCGGTCAATGTGCTGGTTGAAGCTTCTGGATAGGTTACATGAAATGAGAGACGGAATAGTCGGTCCAGTCGCACACCATCGACATTTCTATCGTTGCAAATACATCCTGGGTGATTGACGACAGCCCATTGACGCAACACGTTGATACCTTTCTCTCACTATTCGCCGTTTACCTTTCATTACCGGGCTGATGCTACGGGATATGAGTTCCTGGACCATTTTAGTCACTTAGACCCTTTTCAACCTGTTGATCTATGAATTGGTTTGGTGCAATATGTAAAGCTGGATGCTTTCAACACTTACGACGCCATCACAACTCAAGGATATTGAGCTATCGCCACAATGTCGTGGATTGTTGATTCTTAACTAATCGCCACTGGCTCCTGAAAGGTAGGTAAGAATGCACATGTTCGGTAATTAGATGCAGCCAAATTGAGCCATATGGACGCTTCGAATATGATTAATTCATTGACTGTTCTAGACTTAAATGACCTATTCCAACGTGTGCAACACCCAGTACCTTGTGTACTCATCTGGTACCAGCCCTCCGAGCTGTGAACCTGAAGCGTCTGGCGTCACAAGCAATTTTTCCACTCTGAATCACCCTAATGACTACTCCGGTGAACGTGCTCACGCCTTGGATTTCTCTCTACTTCCAACTTTTCTCACCCACACATTTCTTCATCCTATTCTCCAAACAAAATTCCAAGTCAACCACTACTCCATAACCTATTTTCCTCTCTGGGCACAGCGAGTAGTAGTATTTCTTCTCACTCGAGTGCGATGCGCCATTTGGCTCTTCGTATGAGGCGTATTACACAGGTCTTCACAACTCCTCGTTACCATATAACTACAAATTGGTCCCTCAGCTCTCCTAACTAGGACAGGGTCCCTCGAATTACCTCCCTCTATGCATACATTTGTGCTAGATGCAGAATGATTCATCGTCGGTGCTACTCCCAAAACCACGTCCTCTCACGGCAGCTGTCTGTATGCTTATAACGAACGTCCAGTGACAACTAAGAAGCAATAATACTAATTCGAGCTTGTGTCCGTGAAGGTAGAACACTGGCTTACCCGGTGTTTGCTGTCTTAGGTTCTTTGCGGAAAACGTTCATCGTAACTTTTACCCACGGTCAGCCCTTCGCGTAGTTGACTCAGTAAGCAATTTAATACCAAGTTCTCTTTTTTCCGCTGCTACTCCGCCTTCTGTTGCTATTGTTACACTACTAAGCATCCTAACCCTGAAAACATCATACATCCTATAAAAGAACCGTGATCCAGAAATTGCTTTCATTCTTCTCGTCTCTTCAGAAATCCCCTCGAACGAAAGCAGGCCCTGTGACTATTGACCGGACAACCGTGTCCTCCACAAGATGCGTGATAAAACAGAAGAGACCGGCGTAAGTAGAGCAAAATGGTCAGAAGTGAACTCAAGCATCATGAACGATTGGTTTGATAATAACCGTTCAATCGACCTATAAGCAGCCACCATAGTACTCGCCTTTCCCTAGAAAAGTATGCCGGAACCACCGGGGGAACGACGGAAACCAGGAATCATGAAGAAGCCTGTCCTGCTCGGTACGTGCATTCAGTAGAAGAAACGTTCCGCGTGTTTTCTCGCAAATGCCATTGTTCCAAAGAATTAAGGGTACCAATCACCATGCACGTAGGACCTGGTTTCAATTGACGGGGCAACCTTATCTGCCGATTTCATATACACACGCAAGGGGTTGCGATGACTATCGCCTTCGAAGGGGATAACCGATGCTACGAATGACCCCATAGCATGGTAATGCCCCCACCAGGAAAACACACCGAGGTTCTCCATACGTACCACTAGTCTGGAATGATGGTCTGTACCAAGACCATACCGAGCTCCTGAGCAAGGCCACAGAAGAGCAGTTGGGCCTCAAAAATGGAAAACATCGCAACAGCAGAAGATATAGGCTGTTTCTACCTAACAACCGCTTTCCCAAGGCNCTTTACGACCAGCCACAAGATGTCCAAACGATAGACTTTCAGACTGTACAGACGACGAGCAAAACACTTACGACACTGTTTCGACTCCTCTCTTACGCCATTGTCCTCTTTACTCCTGTCAATTAAACCTGACCGCCTTATCCCGGAAAAAATTAGTCAACTGTATTAGACGTTACAAATCCAACGGCTTCGGTAAACTTTCATACACCCTACCCAACGACAGAGACTCGGTATAAGAGAATCAGCGAACAGCCGGTTTCGTCAAGGGACGCCCGGGGTACTACGTATGCCGGAACGCAAATGGCGATTCCGTACGGGTGTTACAACCAACGAGATGTCACGACGCGCAAGATCCACAAGTGACAACAGCAATCAGGATTTGGTCCTGTCTGAAATGAAAACCAACAACTGGTTTCCTGTAGGCTACATGGACAGTCCACACACACGGAAAACAGTACGTTCCGTCTTATTAGAGGCAGAGTGCGTCTCAATGCACCTCAAAGTGGGCCACTATCGGGCGCGAAATACACGTACATTTACAGGGAAACCTAGAATTGTTTGGCTTCCGACAAACAAGCAACAAGGTTTCCCTAGTTTACTCTTTTAGTTAACCTCACATCTTAAGGGGTCGC